TTCTACCTTACAAATCTGGCTAGACCAGAGGATGTACACTGGTACAGATAGGAACTGGAAACACAGGGAATCCAGGATGGATGATCCCTTCAGGACCAATGGTGAGAGTGGCGATACCGGGAGGGTGGAGGGAGAATGTGGTAGAGAGGGCGAACCGATTACAAGGATCTACATATATATAACCTCCTCCTTGGGGGATGGACAACAGTAAAGTGGGTGAAGGGAGACATCGGACAGTGTAAGATATGACAAAATAATACTAACTTATAAATTATCAAGAGTCCATGGAGGAGGGGGAACTGGGGAGGGTGGGGAAAAAATGAGGAGCTGATACCAAGGGGCTTAAGTAAAAAGCAAATGTTTTGAGAATGATGAGAGTAACAAATGTACAAATGTGCTTTATACAATTGATGTATGTGTGGATTGTGAGAAGAGTTGTATGAGCCCCTAATAAAATGGGAAAAACAACAACAACAAAAAAAACACCACTTCAGTGCTTCAAGTCTTCCTCACTTTCAGCAAGCAGAATTATGTCCCTGCATATCACAAGTTGTTAATAAAAGTTCCTCTAATCCTGATGCTGTTTCTTCTTCATACAGTCCAGCTTCTTGGATTATTTGCTCAGCATACAGATTGAATAAGTATGATCAAAGCGTAGAACCTCGATGCATACCTTTTCTGATTTTAATGCATACAGTAGTTTGAGCAATTGCTTCTTGCTCCATGGACAGGTTCCCCATGAGCACAAAGAAAGTGTTTTGGATTCTCATTCTTCTCAAGGTTATCCCATAGTTTGTTATGATGCACATGGTCGAATGTCTTTACTTAGTCAACAAAAATCAAGTAAACATCTTTCTTGCATTCTCTGCTTTCAGTTAATAGTGTAAAAAAGACTACATTAACATGGTTAAATTTTTAAGACTCTGTTGAGAATTAAAATGATTTATTTAAAAAGAAAGAAACCCTGCTTAAGATGTATCCCCATTAAAATCTACACTACAGGACAATCATCAGACTAATTATTTGGATTTAGTACATCCTGGTTGGTAACACCTCTATTCCTTTTAAATAACCTTTTTCATTATTCTTCCACAAACAAAGCAAAACAAAATCCTTAAATGTGACTATGTTTGAGAACTGAAAAAGTGTTTCTCAAGCTCAGTATGTATACAATTCGTGAGAAGTTACTACACTGGTGGTGGCTGGGTGGACACCCCATAAACCAAACAAAACCCACTGCAGCCATCAAGTCATTCTGGACCCATAGTGAATCGATATAAGGTTTCTGAGATGATAAATCCTTATTGGAACAAATAGCTTCATCTTTCTTCCAAAGAACAGTTGATGGGTTTGAACCATTGAATTTGTGGCAAGCAGCAAACTGCCTAACCCATGGGTTCTAATTTGAAATTTGAAGAGCTGATAAGGTCAGAGAATTTGAAGTTCTAAACAGTTCCCAGGAATTGTTGATGCAAGACTGAGGATTACATTTTGAGCAACCTCTTTAAACATCTCAAACAAATCTTACCTGTTCACTTCCTACAAGATAATATATCTCAAGCATACAGAATGGTTCCGGGAAGGAGATGAGCCAGTCAGGGTACAGTATGGCACCACTGAAACATACAACTTTCCTCTAGTTCTTTAATGCCCCACTCCCACCCCACCACTATCGTGATCCCAATTCTACCTTAGAAATCTGGCTAGATAAGAGCATATACATGGGTATAGGTAAGAACTGGAAACACAGGGAATCCAGGACAGATAAACCTCTCAGGACCGAAATTGAGGGTAGTGATACCTGGAGGGTAAGGGGATCTATATATAACCCAAGGGGATGGACAACAAAAAAGTGGGTGAATGGAAACCGGTCAGTGTAAGACATGGAAAAAAATTTTATAAATTATCAAGGGTTCATAAGGGAGGGAGAGGAAAAAATAAGGAGCTGATGCCAAGGTCTCAGGTAGAAAGAAAATGTTTTGAAATGATGGCACAAATGTACAAATGTGCTTGACCCAATGGATGGTGATAAGAGTTGTATGAGCCCCCAATAAAATGATTAAAAAATATATATATTTATATATATTAATATCTAACGTGATTTCGACTTCCTGTCATTGCCATTAGCAATCACTGCATACAATCTTAACATGATAACTAGTTATTGGGGGCAATAATGAAGTCTTAACTCTCGTGACTAAAAATTAGAAAATTGAGGCCCAGATATACAAAGCTACTCAATCCTTGAACTGGAACTACAATTGTTGTATTCTTTCCATAGTTTTTAAAAACTACAGGTGCTAACACCACAATATAATTAGGTAAAACTCTTCTGACTGACCTGTGAATGCTTTTTTTGTTGTTGTTTTTTTAGAAATTGGCTTTATTTGTGATTTGTTTCTTTTTTTTTTTAAAACATTTTATTAGGGGCTCATACAACTCTTATCACAATCCATACACACATCAATTGTGTAAAGCGCATTTGTACATCATTCTCAAAACATTTTCTCTCCACTTAAACCCCCGACATTAGGTCCTCATTGTTCCCCTCCCTCCCCGCTCCCCTCCTCCCTCACGAGCCCCTGATAGTCTATAAATTACTATTTTGTCATATCTTGCCCTGTCCGATGTCTCCCTTCACCCATTTTTCTATTGTCCGTCCCCCAGGGAGGAGGTCACATATAATTCCTTGTAATCGGTTCCCTCTTTCCTACCCACTCTCCCTCTACCCTCCCTGTTTCACCACTCACACCACTGGTCCTGTAGGGTTAATCTGCCCTGGATTCCCTGTATTTTCAGTTCCTATCTGTACCAGTGTACATGCTCTGGTCTAGCCAGACTTGCAAGGACGAATTCGAGTCATGGTAGTGGGAGCGGGGAGGAGACATTTAGGAACTAGAGGAAAGTTGTATTTCTCATCGTTGTTACATCGCACCCTGACTGGCTAGTCTCCTCCCTGAGACCCCTCTGCAAGGGGATCTCCAGTGGCCTACTGATGGGCTTTGGGTCTCCACTCGCACTCCCCCCATCATCCTGTGAATGGTTTTAATGGCTTTTCAACGAGGTGTGAAGTGCTCTGATGGCAGCTGAAGTGTCAAATAAGCCCTGTGGCTGCAAAGAGGCAAGTGTGACTTAACACCTTTGATTTTCTAGTGGCCTCTGAGCTGACACTAAGTAGCTACATTTACTGCTTGGAATTAGCAAACAGGACAGAGGTGCACAGAAAATACCAAAGATGGCATTCATTTTTTAAAAAGGCTTTCCAGAAAGTGATGTTGCATCTGCAACAAACCTTTAGTGTCCAGTGTTTCCACCTTAATGAATCACTAATGCAGTGAAATGTAATGACTAGGCTTGTTCTAGAGGTATACCAAGGGGAATGGGGAAGCACTGGACTTTTGAATTGAACTTTGTTAATAGGCCTAACCCATCATCCCTCTCCATAGTCACCTAAATGCAAAGTGAAAAATAAAAACACTCAGCACGTAAGAAAAGGCATTATTTATAATATTCAATTCTTGTAAGATCTTGCTTTAGTGGAGGTCTATTTTGGTGTGCTGTGCATTCATCAGCTAGTATTTTTTTTAAAGTCTTTTGCAAAACTAAATCTCACAGAATTTGTTATACATTGGTAATATTATTTTGTGTGCCTAAAATAAAATTCTGAAGAAGCACCTCAATATTCCTCTCAGAATTCTTTGGTATCAAGAAAGACTCCCTCAGCAAACTAAGACTCACAGGTCACTCAAATCTGGCCTGCCGCCCATTTCTGTATGACATATGGATAAAAATGGTTTTCACATTTTTAAATTTTTGAAAAAAGTCAAAAGAATGTTTCACAAAAATATTTAAAAACTCAGTATTTCAGTGCCCACAAACATAGTTTTATTAGAACATTGCTATACTCATCTATTTACATACACTTATGGCTGCTTTCAGGCTATAGGCAAGTAGTTGTGACAGAGACCACAGGTCCACAAAGGCTAAAACGTGTGGTCTTTTAAAGAAAATGTTTGCTGCCCTACTCCATAATTCTCTGAAACAGAAATATCCAGTCCTGTGCCATCCTACAATCATTGTTTTAGCTCATTGTTTCAGCCACTGTGTCAATCCATAAGCTTTGTGATGTCCCCTGTACATTTGTGAGTGTGAGTATACATTACATATATGCAAATATTCTTATCAGTATTTTAAGTTTTTCCAATAGTAGAGTACATTGTGGTAACAAGGAAACTCTGTGATCTAACCTATAACAGTTCCCAGGAAAACTAAAATATATGTATTCAAAACAAATGCCTAAAAAAAAAACCCTCAACAATTTCTATGAGTTCTGTCTGACTTGACATGTTTGTTGATAGCTGAGGAAAAGTTTTGTTGTATGTATAGTATATAATAGTAATGATACTACAAAGAATATATCTATAAAGAGAGAAATTTAAATATTGTATGTACTACAAATTAGGAGCACTTCAATGCAGACTATGAAAAAATAGACATTTTAAAATTGTAAGTATTTGTAATAATATTCCAATAAACACATTCATTAACATTTAGTCTTTGTTTAGGAAACTGATCATCTGTACATAATACAAATATAATTTTAAGCATCTCAAGATTTGCCATTTTTAACATGTATAAATTTTATTCACTGGTCATTAAAAATCAGCAATTAAAACTAAAACTATTACTCTCAATATGATAGTCTTAATTGATTATTATTTTAAGAGATATTAGCACAATTTTAATTAGTGTTGATTTCATTTTATTCCCAACACTGACTGTTCAGTTGTTTTTTCATCTTTTTTTTAAATTAAATTTTTCCACTTCTTTCCTTAAAACAAAGGAGTTACTTTATTACAGAGAAGTCCAATTTTCAGAAGACCAGAAAAGGGAGAATACTGATTAAATTAAATGTTAAGACAAACAAAACAAAGTGACTGATTTGTACATATTAGCAAAGCACACATTTTACCATGAAGAATATAAAAAAACAAAGTTACCTCTACACAGGTTCTCATCCCTGAGGCAGCAGCATAGTGCAGGGGTGTATTTTTTTTATTATCAACAGCATCAATAGCTGCTCTCTCATATTCGCCTTGGTCAAGTTTTGCTCCTTTCCATCTTAAAATCATCTGCAGACAATCTGCTCTTCTGTAATCATCTTCAGCGGGACGTGCTATGCGAGGATGAAAGGCTCCTTCAGAAATCATAATTTGAGGTCCCATACACAGCAAATGCATAGATGTCTCATTGTGCACATTCCGTTTATTTGGATTTCCATCTCTACCGAAAAGAAAAGTCCTAAAACGGTAATGCAAGAAAAGGACAAATACACAAAATAAAAACACATATAACAAATTTAAAAGATTAGCTCTATTTCTAAACTAATCACCCAAGCATTTACTTTACAACAAGTTAAAATTATTCTTATAGTTTAAAAATGCAGATAAAGATTTACAGCCTAAACTGGACATCCGCTTACTTAAGGGTCGCAGGGAGGAGACGAGCCAGTCAGGGTGCAGTATAGCAACAATGAAACATACAACTTTCCTCTAGCTCCTAAATGCCTCTTTCCCTCCACTATCATGATCGCAATTCTACCTTACTAATCCGGCTAGACCAGAGGATGTACACTGGTACAGATAGGAACTGGAAACACAGAGAACCCAGGACAGATGAACGAACCCTTCAGGGCCAGTGGTGAAAGTGGCGATACCAGGAGGGTGGAGGGAAGATGGGGTAGAAAGGGGGACCGACTACAAGGATCTACATATAACCCCCTCCCTGGGGGACGGACAAAGAAAAGTGGGTCAAGGGAGACATCGGACAGTGTGACACATTGACAAATTAATAATAATTTTAAATTATCAAGGGTTCAGGGAGGTGGGGGGAGGAAATGAGGAGCTGATACCAAGGGCTTGAGTAGAAAGCAAATGTTTTTTGGGTTTTTAAAATCATTTTATTGGGGGCTCACACAACTCTCATCACAATCCATACATCCATCCATTGTGTCAAGCACTTTTGTACAGTTGTTTCCCTCATCATTCTCAAAACATTTGCTTTCTACTTGAGACCTTGGTATCAGCTCATTTTTTCCCTTCCCTCCCTGCTTCCCCCTCCCCCATGAACCCTTGATAATTATTATTTTGTCCTATCTTACACCATCCAATGTATCCCTTCACCCACTTCTCCAATGTCTGTTCCCCAGGCAGGAGGTTATTTGTAGATCCATGTAATCTGTTCCCCCTTTCTCCCTCACCTTCCCTCCACCCTCCCGGTATCGCCACTCAAACCACTGGTCCTGAAGGGTTCATCTGTCCTGGATTCCCTGTTACCAGTTCCTATCTGTACCAGTGTACATCTTCTGGTCCAGCCAGATTTGTAAGGTAGAATTGGGATCATGATAGTGGGGGGAAGGAAGCATTCTAGAACTAGAGGAAAATTGTATGTTTCATCACTGCTACACTGTACCCTGACTGGTTTGTCTCCTCCCCGCAGCCCCTCTGCAAGGGGATGTCCAATTTCCCACAGATGGGCCTTGGGTCCCCACTCCGCACTCCCCCTCATTCACAATGCTATGAGTTTTTTTTGCCTTTGATGCCTGGTACCTGATCCCTTTGACGCCTTGTGATCTCACAGGCTGGTGTGCTTCTTCCATGTGGGCTTTGTTGTTTCTCAGTTAGATGGCCACTTGTTTATCTTCCAGCCTATAGGACTCCAGATTCTATATCTTTTGGTAGCCGGGCACCATCAGCTTTCTTCACTGCATTTGCTTATGCACCCGCTTTGTCTTCAGCAATCGTGTAAGGGTGAAAGCAAATGTTTTGAGGATGATGGCAACAAATGTACAAATGTGCTTGACACAATGAATGTCCGTATGGATTGTGGTAAGAGTTATATGAGCCCCCCCAGTAAAATGATTAAAAAAAAAAGATTTACAGCCTAGGAAACGCTATCTCACTCATTGCCATCAAGTCCATGTGGACTCCTAGTGACCCTATAAGGACCGAACAGAACTGCCCCTGTGAGTTTACAGGACTGTAACTCTTTATGGGAATAGAAAAATTCATCTTTCTCTAAAGGAGCATCTGGTGGTTTCAAACTATTGGCCTAGCAGTTAGCATCACTATGCTCCAGAGCTCATAAAATGTTAATGGGGAAAAAAAGAATGACAACCAGTTTATTTTTGTTTTTTCTCCTATCTTACCAATATTAATACACAAATGAAAAACTAATTTAAAATTTGAGCTTTATTTCTAAACTGATTACTCAAGTATATACTTCACAACAGGCTGGATTACCTATTCTTACAGTTTTAAAATGCCCATAAAGATTGACAGCCTAGGAAACGCTATAAGGCATTTCATTTCTGCTCAAGAGGGTTGCTATGAGTTGGAATTGATACAACAGCACACAACAATCTCTACAGGAGGAGATTTTTTTCTGCCTTACAGTTGCTGGTAGGTTCAAATTGGCAATCTATCGGTTTGTAGTCAAGTGTTTAACCACTGTGCCATCAGGGCTCCTTTCTATAACAGTAAAACTCAAAAAATAAACTTGCAATAAAAAAGACGAGTAGGGAAGGAAAAAAGTTAAGAGCGGGAAAGCCAAATGACGGAAAGGGAAAAAAGAGGAAGAAGGCAAAGAAAAGGAGAAGGAAAGGAATAGGACAGAAAGGAAAGGCAAGAGACAATTTATAGACTAATATGACAATACATAAATGTCATTAAACATCCTATTCCCACTGGTTTCATTTTTCTTTACTGTTTTGCCTATTTCTCTTGTATAATATGTATATAAGGATGGAGGCAAGATAAGGACAGTAAATAATGCATACGCTTGGCACTAAATTTTAAATCTAAGAGAAAATTTTCTATTGGCAGGCAATTTATGCAGATAATACTTCAAGGAGAATAAGTTGTGATTCATTTCAGAAGACTAATTCCATAATGGGAATCTTTGACAAAGATAAGTCTAGGTGAACTGCCACAACTATAATCAAACCTACATCTGAGGGTTATGCTTCAAAAAGTCAAACCAAACTCACCCCCATCAAGTCATTTCTGACTAACACAGATCTTATAGTTTAGGGTAGAACTATCCCTGTGGGTTTCCAAGACTAACTCTGTACAAGAGTAGAAAGCCTCATTTTTCTCCTGTGGGGTGGCTGGTGGTTAAATGAACTGCTGATCTTTCGTTTAGCAGCCCAATGGGTAACCACTATCCCACCAGGGCTTAACATGAACTAGGCCCATAGGATTGATAACAGCCAATTCAGTGGCTATACTAGGCTAATGAAAATGGGTTGAAAAGACCTGCTACACATGATTAACCTATACTAGATGACATACAATAAATACACTATGAAATGAGCTTAAAAGTCTGAACCCAACTTTGAAATTGAGTGCCTAAACTTACTGAGGAAGGGTGAGAGGTCAATAGGATTCCTATGTCCAAGTCTACCACAACACAAGAGAGCTGAAGTACATCCTAAATCCTACATGTCACATTGTTATATTTAGGATGTTTGCTTAGGACACTTGGTTCTGACCCAAAAGAAATTCACATAGGCTTTTCTATTTGAATGAGTCAGACAAGCTGGAAAACTAGTATGAGAAAAAAGCTAAGCGTCTAGTCTACAGTAGTAGCAAGTTTGGGACAATTGTTGGAACAACTCTGGATCTTTCTTATTCTTACCATTCAAGACCCTAGATAATCTTATCAGTATAACCTGTCAAAATTTGAATTGTGCTGAGAGTAGGTATATCATCCCTGGAGTAGGGATAGATAAAATACTATTACTTAGGCATGGTGGTTATGTGTTGGACTGAAATCTACAAGATCCAGATAGAAATTAAACAGTTACAGTTTCATAAACACATAAGGGCAGTTCTATCCTATCCTATAGAGTCACTATGAGTCAGCATCAAATGGATAGCAGTGAGTGAGTGAATTATAATAATCATGTCAGCTCCTCATATTCCATTGGGACAATACAATCAGAACTATAATAGATGTCAGTCTGTAGATACTGGAATCTTCACTGTAAGCTAATGTGGTAGAAAAAAGAATGGCTTCCTAGTTCCAAGAACCTATGAATATAATATATGATTTGGCAACAGAAATTCTGCAGATGTGACTAAGTTAAAGATGTAACCTGGAGAGATTATCCTGGATTATCATAGTGGGCCCACTGTAATCACAAGTCCTTATCTAAATGCCATGGTCAGAGAGAGACTAGAAGATGCAACATTCCTGGCTTTGAAAATGGAAGGAGGGGACATAAATCAAGAATGCAGGTGGCTTCTAAACTTAGAAACAGCAAGGGAACAGATTCACCTCCAGAACTTCCAGAAATAACACATTTCTGAGAACTTGACTTTAGCAAGTAAAACCCAATTTTGGTCTTCTGGCCCACAGAATTGTAAAATAATATACTTATGTTGTTTTAAGTGCCAAGTTTGTTACAGCAGGGATAGTGAATGCATACAGCAAGGAACCCTGAAAATAAGAATCTGGGAAGTCACATAGCAGCAGACAACCTTTTCTGTGGAGAGGCAGGGGAATTTATCACTGAGTAAACCCTCTTTGGGAAAGGCTCTGGTTCCTACCCTGAAGAACATAAAACATGTTACAAGGAGAAAGACATGAGTTATCAAATCTAAAGAAATCTCTCTCATGCACCACCACCCACCCCAACTGCAAGCACACACATCTAGGACATTCTCCAGAGTGCTCAATCTGTTTAGCCAGAATCTAACATCCATAATTTGGTCTGCTAGCACACGTCCCAATTTTCTGTATGACTTGCTCAGAAACCTAACCATGCATAATTTCCCTACAATCCTTCATAGTTGTTATGGCTTTCTGACACCTCACTTCCTACAATACATGTGTAGGTTTCTCCACTGCTGGTTTTGCTACCTGGTGTCCCTGAAATTGACTCAGAACAGTTAAGCAAACGCAATCCTGTTTAGAAGCTTCCAGGACAATGTGTTTCTGTTTATATGTGGACTTTCTGTTTCTAGGTTTATAGTCCTAAGATTATTTACTGAGCCTTGCAGGATTGCTTATTTAGTATGTAAACAAGGCCCATAAAACCCCTACAGGGATTGGTCAAGTTGTTATGCAAACAAAGTGACTGTACCTTACTTATGAGGATGGGTCCGTTTTGTAATCCTGCTAGACTTAAAAGAGCCAGTTCCACATAGGTTGAGGGGGCCCTGCAACTAACAGGAAAAGGAGGGAGCAGGATGCATCTTTTTGATCCTGTACTAAGATCTGAGACAGAACAACAGAGA